TAAGTACATTGAACATCGTGCTAACAACATCGCGGATTAGTCAATGAACAGGTGCGTCAGCCGAATCAGAATTACAAATACTTTGACTAGATTAATCAAGCATTCCACACGATTTATATACGAAACAAATCACTTCTTGATCGCATTAAAAATTATAGTAAAGATGTGCCAGACATTAAGGACAGTTTCGACAAAGTTTTTGTCACAAAATTATAACATGATAATAGTTTTGCTTGTGCAAGTTTCGACACATTTTTTGTTACAAATTTTATTTTTATTTTCACATTATATTAGAGATAAAAAAAAATTATCTTTTTTTTTTATATTTTTTTTTATTTTTTACGGTAGTCAGTTTCAAGTATAGTAGAAAGCCAACTTGAACGACAAAATTAATAATAAATATCCCCCTAGAGACTTCCTACCATGGCAGTTCTATTTATTATCCTAGGATTTCTCAATAGATACTACAGATAGCTTGCATTTTTGCATCCTAAGTAAATATTCTGGCATGTTCAAACAAACATATTTCAATACGGTTCTATTTGGAAGGCGGATCATCTTTTTAATTGTTTTAAATAACCCAACGAAATGTCATTCAGTCAATGCACCGCATTTACCCCAAAGATACGGAATACTATGCAAATATAGTTTATGAAATACAAATTCAAGCATTATCATCTGTTTGCATTGACAAAAACCCGTCATACACTTCAGTCATGACATCAAATCAATGAGGGTCAATTTGGGGGGAGATCGTGCATGCACAACTGCTGCATTTCCGGATTAAAGACAGATTCAGAACAGATTCATGCATCAAAAAAAGCATTATATATGAATCACAGTATTTTTTTCATTTCCATGTTTAGACGACAGCATATGTAACATCTTTTTACATTTCAAAAGTTTTTTTCTTCAAAATTTCTTTTATATACAAACTTTTCACATTGAATTTATTTTGGATCAATTGTATGTTTTCCAACGTTTATAAAACATATTGCAACAGTGTTTGTTTCTTTTAAGAAATTTTTTCCTGTCCCGAGCCTCGTGTCTCTTTTCTTCACATGATGCGGCAATTTGCCGCTCATTGTCGCTCTTCTGTTGAAATTGTACTCTTAATTGATCGTTGGGTTCCACTAATCAATGTACTCTCAGCGGGTGAAACTTGTACCGACATTCCGGGCTCAAATATCGACCAAATCTTTAAAACAGTTCTTTTATTTGTCAGAAACTACCACAAAGTACTTCTTAAATATTACAAATTGTCGTTCTTCAGTTTTCAAAACCCTGTAAATTGGATGAAGGTGCGGGCGAGAGGGTGCTAAATTCAAATGAAAATAACGAAAAGGTGCGACATTTGTGCTCTCGCGATAGGACGAAAAATTAAATTGTTGAAATAAGCCGAATTTCATTGAAATTTTGAACAATGAGTTATAAAAGAGATTCATACGGTGTCTAAAGACCCGCTGATAGAGGGTCGACCTCATTAACGTGCGTTTTTTCCCTCTATATATTTTTGTGTGGAGAACGAAAAGATGTAATATAAATGGAATTATAAAAAGGGTAAAAAAAAATCTCAATAAATGTTTTAAAAAATTGATAAATAGATATGACCTACACTGAGCGACTCAAAACCCTACTTTTTTTCTTCTTTTTTTTTCAATTTTCATTTTTTTATTTTTTAAGAATACGTGAACTTGATGTATTTGTATCAACTTACATTGGCAGGACCTTTGTTATACAAAATGATTATTTCACCCTAAGTTGCATCAAAATGTAGAGTGAATTCTGTAATTTTTTTTGCTGGGTACAAGCAAACTTTCAATTTCAATTACTTGTGGTTTTGTATCAAAATTATAAGTGAAATATCTTGGGTTTTATTTTATTATTATTATTTTTGTAATTTACGTATTTTGTCCTGCAAGTCTAAAAGCTAAAAACTTTATAAAAAATACAATTACATAGTTTATCAAATGTAAATGTTAAAATTAAATGTTAAGACAAGATCAAAGAGGCGACTATGGGTTCAAATAGCTAGAGTCTATGCATCTCTTAGCTGCAGCAGGTGAGGTCGTTTTGACCCCTGGTGTTGCTTTGAAGTTTGTAAGGCCCGAGGTTAGCCAAAATCATCTTTCCTGTTTCGGCACCATATGACCTGTACTGTGTTAATGTGCCGTAAAACCAAACAAACCAAAACTGTCTCTTCAACATGCAGACTTTAAATTTATTTTAACAATTTATAAGTTTAACAAGTATGAATGTTATATTACAAGATCTACTGTCATATGGTAACATCAGCGTTATGTTTTGTCCAAAGTCATTTTGTTGTGTTGTTTTTGTTGTTGTTATACACAGCAAAAGAGTTCTGAATAAGTTTCTTATTTCTGTTTTAGTTGTATTTCTAAAGATTAATATATTGCTAAATTCCTTTTTTTTGCATTTATGTATGTAAATAGTAATAGCAAAAATAAACAAAACAAGTTGTATACATGTGTCCACTGTAATAGATAACAATGTACTCAAACTAAATGACCCATTATTCATTGCACTGGAAGTGTTTAAAGGCCCATAATGTCTCAGAAATGCTTTTATTTATTTTTATTTCTTTAAAGCTTTTTAATTTTGGTGTATTTTCAGTTGTTTAAAAAGTTACTCATTGGCCTATTACCTAAACCATCCTTTTCATCTGTTGCTTTTTAGAAATAAGTACAATTCAATGATTTTTTTTTGTATGGAAGTCAAACTACTACTTTGTTTATATTTTGCTACTTTTATAACACACTATTTCACAACTTTCGTTGATTTCCTTTTTCAGGTAACAAATATATAACATTCTCTTAAATAATTATTTAAACACTATAAAATTCATGTTTGAACTTTCTATAGAAGTAAAAAAAACAACATTTGTTTCTGTGGGGTCATGTGCCTTTAACACAATTTTAATTAGATAATTAATATATTAATGAAAGGGAAAAAATGAAAATGGCTAAATACAATGGGGTGGATACGACCTAATGATTAAGGTATTATTTCTAAGTATTCAAAGAACAGTGGGAGGGCCGATAAGTTAACAACTACAAAATTATGATAATACTTTGACGTTATCTCACATATCTATAAGATAATAAATAACTTGTCACGGCTATCTACTAATATAATCTAATGTTTTCTAAACAATATACCTACCTTTCATGTACATATCTTTACCTTATAGATAACGAGAAATGATGTAAAATAGAGATTATTTATATAAAAAGATAGATTTGAGCATATTTTGACAAGTTTATTAAACTTCTTTTATCATGTCATATTTTAACTATTTATCAAATAATCGACACAACAATACAACTTCTTATCGATTTTTTTTTTATTTTGTTTAGATTTTTTTATATACATGCGCCGAAAATTAATTTTGACGCTGCAAGAAAAATGACGACCTGTCGGTGTCATTATAGATGAAAGATTTTTTTTTCATAATAGATGAATGGGTTATCTTCACTTACTTATGATTATGTATATTAATGACATGTATGATAATTTTTGAATTATCTATAATCTATCATTATGAATGTAAAGATACATGTATTAGATGAATTATAAAATAAGCATTGTTTTAGAATTATTCTTATGCAAGGTACGGTACATACGACACTTTGCACATAATATTATGTAAATAAGATAAAAAACGTTAAAAGTGAATGGAATTCCAAACCTTTTATCTAAATTTGTAATATAGATATGAGAAATTTTCATTGATTAAATTGTATGCAACGGTAGAGGTATCTTTTCTTATCATATTCAAATTCAACATACACTTAAATTTTGAAGACAAAAAAAATATAATAAAATAAATAAAAACCTCTTGTTAAATCCGTTACTTTTTATTTTTTCAAATGACTTTGTACAACATATTTTTTATAAACAATATTATTCGACAGAGGAAAAAAAGTAATCATAGGACTTTATGGCATGCTTCGTAATTTATGAGCGGTGAGTTTCAGATGCAAGAGCGGGACGTTGCCACATAGCGCGTGTCGTTCTGGCGCGCATTAATTTTACTTCGATTGACGTAAAGTAACGGAATGCGTCACGTGGAATCAAGCTAATAATCTCTAAATACGCGCAAAAAGACGTGCAAAAATTTCTAGGATTCCATTTTTGTCATGGCATTATTATATAATAGTTACAAGGCGCGATTTCTTAGATAAAACAATCAGATAAACCCTTCATTGTTAATGGGCGCTGACTAAAACAAATAAACGGCGGCGAGAACTCATTGGCCTGGAGGAAAAAGAAATAGCTTCTGCTGTTTCTCTTTATATCATACGCAGAAGTTTCTTGTGTTAGTCTGTATATATGTGTGTGTTTGTGCAGGAATCTAAATGTGTGTTGGATATGATTATGTATTAAATTTGCTTGGACTTCGATTTATAGTGAATAAAATATAAAAATAATAATAATAATAGTAACGCGAGGCAATTTATCTACAAAAGGTAAATAAGATAAAAGATTAGTGTGTTCCTGGTATCAAGTGTTTACATTTAATGTAAAGAAACTAAATTGCATTTGTTTGTTTGTGTTTTTTATCAACGACATATTTTTTATACCTTCTCATATTTCTTAGCTTATTCTGTTCTATTAAAAACAAAGTTTGTGTATAAAAAGATCTCAAATGTTTTGAAAAACCAACCGTCATCTTAAACATAATCTAGGTTGAAGATATACACCCGACTTATCAGAATGATTTACTCTGTTTTCTTCTTTTTTTACCCCGTACAAACAACGATACAATATGACAAAGCTGTTGTAGTACATGTAATAATGCACGATGCTCAAATATAAATCATTTTTTTCTGACTTATTAAGCCATTCATTTTCATTTACGTCCAGTTTTGTAACAGAAATTATCTCTAAAATATCGTTTATCATTCAAATTAGCTTTTTTAGTTAGTGACTTGATCTATATACAGCGATATTTTAACATTTTCTATTTATCTTTACAGGAAATCATAACTTACTGATCAATATCGTGAAAAGCGCTTGTCAATCATCTGCATTACACTGATGAGCTGAAGAGGGCGGGCCTTATCGATCACGTGAAGGAAGCTAACCACTGGATTCGCTGATAACATTTTGCCGTGGCAGTGACGTAACTTTGGAGCGATTCATATTGAAGGATACTAGCAAATACTTGTATACAACTGAAATTAAATGAATAAGACAGCTTTTTCGAAATAGTAATCACAAACGACAATCGGGAGATATCTTCCCGAGATTAAATCTCTGCCAAAGAACTCAGGGATTGTAAAAAAAAGGTTACAAACAGTTTTCTCGTAGTTGTGAAAGCCGTGAAAAACATAGACTAAAGCACTCATCATTACTGCTTAATTTTTTGAAACGGGTTGCATTTTGTTTAAAGTTTTTCACACCTTTTTGGAGTAAAGTTTGAGTGGATTGTCTTTAGCACAAGATAATCAAGGTGTCAAACGTGTCATAGACAGTTGAGATTTTTTTTCGCCACGGGAATATAAATGGTTCACAGAAATCGGACTAACTCAGAACATACGATTTGTTTGAACTCTACACAAGTGCCTTGTTGTTAAACTGAAATGTAATACCGGCTTAGCTTTTCGGATTAATCACAAGGATCGTATTAAGTCTCTGGGATTTGATCTGCACGAAGAAAACAAACACATTTTAAGCTTTGGAAAGTTTACTTAGGTTCGAGTGTCGCCAAACGAGGGGTTTCATTCGTAAACCTTGATCAGAATCTGGCGTCAGATTTTAAGGAGCCACTGGACTTTATTTAAATTTTATAGACGGAGGAGGATTAAAAAATTAACGTGTGTTTTTTCTTCATAACCGAACAATCACCGTTTGTTTTATATACGGTGTTCTGGACTTACAATCCGTACGGACATCTCACTGCTAGCTGCTAGTTTCCAGTGTTTAGGGGAAAAAACTATCAATTTATCAAAATTGACGAGTAATAAATATAGATATTTGGATTTCATATAGGTCACATTTGTTTATATTTTCGCATCATTTAAATAGTTTAAGATCCATGGTAAATAGTGGATATCATTAACGATTTAGAGAGGGATGTTTATATTGTAACTTTTCATTTATAAACAAGGGAGAAAATTTAAGTATAATCTGAAGATAGCGTATATCTGCCGGACTTAGATAAAAGCCCAGTGCATCGGTCAGTTTAGACGAGATAAAAACCGTCCGTACAGGAATATCTGACCCATAGATTAGCTAATTTAGAGCGTGGAATGGACATATAATTGTCTTAATTTTGTGTAAATTGAGCTGGAATATCTTGTGAATTATACACTGATTTGATGTGAAGTTAACAGAAGGTCAACGAAGACGTATTAGTAGAAAATAGAGATAGGGTAAACATCGTTCATGATAGATAAAAAGTGAAAATTGAAGGAACTGAAGGAAATGAAAAACATGGAGAAATACATAGCAATAGTTTTGCTTGTAGCTTCACTAACATCAGCAGAGAAGAAACAATGCCAGGAAATCAGCATCCCAATGTGTAAAGGGATCGGATATAACTATACATACATGCCAAATGAAGTAAGTAGATATACATTATATATAAAAACAATATTATTTGAAAGACCTTAATATAAACAATATTAATTCTTTCTATGTCTTTTCGTTAGAATGACATGTTATCATATCCCCATAACTAAGAAAACATTATTTAAATACATGTTTATATTATGCTGCTTTTTATCCAAAAATTGATTTTATCCGAATGTTAACCTTATGAAATTTAAATTCTTGTACAAAGTTATGAACGTCCAATTTTTTAATGATCTAATATATTGCTTATAAAAAAAACACCAAAAAAACTAATTTCTTTCATTTCACATCATCAAAATTTTTAGTTCTTGCATTTCTTTCACACAATTCATGCAGCAATTTGTTTAAACACGTGGTTGGTTACAAAAGCTTGCAAATATTTGTTATAATAAAAGCATGTGGCCATGTAACAAAACATGAGGGGGGGGGGGGGGAGAGAGAGAAAAAAACTTAACAAGAGGAGGTACACGGGCGAAGAGAACCAGTTTGCAGTAATCTAGATAATCTGGGGAGATAAATATAAATGAATAGTTACTCTGACATATAATTGCGCACTCCATGTATAATAACATGTCAGTTTACCGCTCCATACACCCATACATTTGCAAAGAATTATTTCTATAGTGTATATATATTGATACATGTACATGTATATATCCTGTAAAACATAGAATATTGTATAATCAAATAAAATGACTGCACGTGCGCTCGTGCCGTATCCAAGACGCACTGACTCATGGGAAAATACAAGGGAAAAAAATCATATATAAATTAAAATAGTGACCAGTTACTATTTTACAATTCGTGGTTCTATGTTTTATGTACGATAAATTTTTTTAGATATTTTCTAGTGATTATCAATTTTGAAGTGTAGGGATCATGCGTTCTCGGACACATTGAAACCGGAAATTCAGTTTCAAATTCCACTTGTTTACATTTTAATGACAATCTAAAGAGTTACTCAAAAAATAAACAGTTGATCAAAGACATTATAGGGCATTAAACTGCATAAAATACCAGCAACGATATTAACAGTAACAATTGGTATTAAAAGTTGAAAATAATTAATAGAAAATCAAAAATATTTGCTTTTAAATGAAAGAAGAATGAAAAAAATGAAAATAAAACATAAAAATAAAAAATACAACCCCCTATTTTTTGTTTAAAATATAGAGCATGATACATTTCATTGCAATATCATGATAATTATTTAGTTTTATGGATTCAATATAAACATGTATGTGATGTGGTTATATGAATTCACATAACAGATGATGTTAAACAGCGGTTATATGAAATAATATAAACATTATAAAACACAATGTATCTTGATCATCTCACGTGCAACATCGTTGTAAATCTGTTTGCCAAAATATTCAACATTACATGTTTTGATAAAATAAGTTTCTATGATAAACAGGGGCTTATCAGGTGAAAGCAAAAACATAATCACCTGTTTGAAATGATATATTCGGTATGCAGAAGCGTTATCTTATACCTAGTTATAAAACTTTTTGTCTAACATCTATCTAAAATACTGCTTTTTGAATGTTCTTTTGTTACCCAACCTGTAAAAATGTTAATATTAATATAGTATATAAAACTATATACATGTATATGTATTTCTAATTTTTAGTTTAACCACGATTCTCAAGATGAAGCCGGCCTGGAGGTTCATCAGTTTTGGCCACTAGTTGAGATCCAGTGCTCGCCGGACCTGAAATTCTTCTTGTGTTCCATGTATGCCCCAATATGTATGGAGAACTACAAGCCCCATCTACCAGCCTGCAGGTAAAATTTTTAATTTTACATTTGTTTTACCAATTTATTATAATTCAATGTCTCAATCAATTTGACTGATAGCATGGGAGAAAATTCTTTTTTCTCTATCCAACCCTATTTTGCTTCGGTTGGGAAGCGGAAACGTAAAATTATATATTTTTTGCTAATATATTCATGTTTTTTAACGTCAACTTTAACGTAAATTTCTTCTGACGTCATTTTATAATTTTATAAAATGACGTTTAGGGTTCTTTTCTCATACCGGTGGTCAAATGACATAACTGTTGAGTTGACATGTGTTTTATTTCCGCAGATGGTATTTTACTGTTTAAAATTTTCTTATTTGCCATGGGTATACATTGTATTATTTTTTTACCAATGTTTGACACGTGATAAAAACATAATTTCTTATTACATTCATATGGTGTAAAGGCGGGGAATACAATGAAACATTTAGGACTACATTTATAATATCATTTAAGTTGTTATTTTCTCTTGCTGAAATTGATTGAATAAGCGCACATGTGAATCTATAGGAAAATAGAAGTCTAGAAAAAAATCGTTGCTGAAAATAACCTATTTGAAAAATCTGAAATAGTAATACAAGTTTATGTAAACAAACATTTTTTTTAAATTGTGCAGGTATTGAATGGTAAAATATGCATTCAGAAATATTCAATTCACTGCTGTAAAGGTTTGGAAGCCAGTATGTCAACAGTTTTTTAACCGTATTTCTTTTCCCATTTCATTGCAGGTCTGTATGCGAGAGGGCAAAGTCTGGTTGTGCCCCTCTGATGCGCCAGTACGGGTTTGTGTGGCCAGAACGGATGGACTGCAGTAAACTGCCATACTACGGCGAGAAAGGAAAGCTATGCATGGACCGGAACATAACCGACAGTTCATCAACAGATCGACCGCTCAGACCAGGGTCTGGCCAGAAGACTACACGGAAGCCACTTGAGCCGGCTGTAACAGATAATAAAGATGTAGACATTATTAATCCAAACACAAACATTAATGACTGGAATAAAAATCCCAACTTTAATGACATTTTTGATCCGTACAAGAAAATTGTGGAAGATCATGCATGCACCTGCAAGTGTAGGTTGCAATCTATCCAGGAGTCGAGCCAGTACTATAATAAAGTTTCTTCCGGTGGTGTGAAAAATTGTGGGATGAACTGTACCAGTCCGTTCCTTAGTGATGACGAGAAGACGTTCGCGACATTCTGGATCGGACTATGGTCAATCATGTGTTGTATTTCTACATCAATTACATTGCTAACTTTCGTTTTAGACATGACACGATTTAAATATCCAGAACGACCAATCATATTTCTTACCGGATGTTACCTCATGGTTTCCATTGGATACATCATCAGACTGGTTGTCGGCCATGAAAACGTCGCTTGTGACGGAAGTATGATTCGATATTCAACAACGGGACCAGCGTCATGTGTTTCCACCTTTCTTCTCGTCTATTTCTTCGGAATGGCTTCGTCAATCTGGTGGGTGATCCTTGCTTTCACTTGGTTCCTTAGTGCTGGTCTGAAATGGGGATCGGAGGCTATTGCCAGTTATTCACAATATTTTCATTTCGCAGCATGGCTGATTCCCAGCGTGAAGAGTATAGCGGTTCTTGCAATGTCGAGCGTAGACGGTGACCCAGTTTCCGGGATTTGTTATGTTGGGAACCAAAATATTAACAATCTGCGAGGATTTGTATTGATTCCTTTGTTCGTCTACCTAATTATCGGATCTACTTTTTTAATAGCTGGCTTCGTGTCACTGTTCAGGATCAGGAGTGTGATTAAGCATCAAAATGGCGGGAAAATCGAGAAGCTGGAGCGGTTGATGATAAGAATAGGCGTGTTTTCTTTATTATATACAATTCCTGCCACTATTGTGTTAGCTTGCTATTTTTATGAACAATATTTAAAAGACGATTGGGAGAAAAGTGTGATCTGCCCGTGTTCAGAAAAATCCTCAAAACCAGACTTTGCGGTGTTTATGTTGAAATATTTTATGCTGCTCGTGGTTGGAATCACCAGCGGTTTCTGGATTTGGACTGGTAAAACTCTAGAAACCTGGAAAAAACTTTGTAACGGAAGTTTGTGCTGTGCAAACTCAGACTATGCATACTCAAGACCGCCGATAAAATACTCGCCTACCAGTAATTCTGCTGTGTCCAGTCTACACAAACCGCCCGTTAGCCATTGTTGAACATGTGTGTAAAGAATGTGTTATAGGGCATACAGGTTGTTAGTTTTCTCAGGCATACATATGTGTAAAAAAATAAACTTGTGTATTGATAATTTTATTGATAAAAAATACTACTAATTTAATGCCTTCTCCGTCTTTGAATTTGTCTTTTTTCGTAATATTCATTTATTTCAATTTCGTTTTGGAAATTCATTTACTGTGGCGGATTGAAGGCTAATTGCTTAACAGCATTAGAAATTGTATTGTTAATGGTGCATTTACGTAAAGACAAACTGCCGTAACGTAACGTTATTCAGTTTTTTTTTACGTTTAGGACATGTTTTATTATAATCTCTGAGAAAGAACTGGGGATTTTTTTTTCATATTTCAGTTCATTTGTGTTCAAACTTAATATGAAACATTGATCTTATGAAACCAAGTTCTTGTTGAACTGTATGTATGTATAAAGAAGTAACAGTTGTACTTTGTGTAGCCTAACTCGAGATCAACTATTGACCTCTGACTTTTATGAGATTATATACTTCTGAAAAGCCATTTTATTACCTTAAGGTATTAATTAAGGTCTTATTCTTGTTGTGCAATAATTCGGATACATTCGGATACAAAATGCATTTCTTTTAATACATGTTTATGACTGGATGTTACTCCGAAAAAAAATCGTGCATTCCCTTTTTGCACAAAACTGGTGTAATTTTGCATTTATGTAAAGGAAATGGCTCTCGGGCAACCAATCAAAAATCATTTACTGTGATCACGTGACAGCATTTCGTCATTATTTGCATATGACAAAACAATTTGTGTATATTTTGTTCAGTAAAAGATGAAAAAATATGTTTTCATTGTTTAAATACAAAATTGTTTTTTTTTTAGAAATTGTTTTGTATCGAATTTGATGATTATGTTTAAATCTATTTTGTAATATAAGAATATGTATTTATGTTTAAATGGTTTTTGTATAAATGTATAAAGTTTTGTGTGAATGAGTTCCGGTAAAATCGGGGCTTTTAAATGAGTATTTGTTGCATATCGTATTTGACAATTACCATATATCTTACGTTAAAGGTGCTATACTATAATATAAATAGGTGCAAACGTGAAATCAATGACATTTGTACAATATTTTCATTATGATAATGGTTAAGAAAGTATTTTAAAAAAATAAAATGTCTCGTTCAAATACTGTTTTGTTTTCTCTTGTAAATAATTACTGTAAATTTCACAGTAGATATCCATAAGGATAAAAAAACCACCGCAAATCTTGCTATATTTGCTGCATTAGAACAGCAAGCTTCATACCAGCCCTGAATTTTAGCTCCCAATTTTCCAAGAAAAATGTGGAGTTATTGACACGTCCCTCTCATAGCAGTTAGTGTCGGCGTTGGCTAATCTTTTCGTTAAAGTTCTAGGTATACACTTGTTATGAAAATGTAGCGCCATACGGAAAGGACAGATGATTCCAAAATTATTTTTTACAAAAATTAATGTTAAAATGTTACGCATTTGTAATTAATTTTTACCCGTCCGCTTCTCAAAACACCATCAAGGGTATTCTCTTCATGCATAAGCTACTTATTCGATTTTACATTTGGAATGCATTTCAAAATAACATGATCCAAAAATTCACTTTTGCTCAGTTATGTCCCCCTTTTAACCTTTACGTTTCACATAAATTATCATTGAAAAATTGATTACTATCAAAAATAGATTTGCATACTGAATAGCAAATAACCTTTTAAGTCACTTTTCTTAAAATTAGCATATGTTACCTAAATACTTCCCCAAGTTTCTCAAAAAACTGTCTAGTTACAGCTTGAATGTTCAGAATAAGGACAGTTTGTTCTGTCATGCAGTGATGCAGAATTCGGCCCCCTTTTCTACTTCGTTTTTTATCATATTATCCAGAAAAGAAGACCGACAACTCTTGATTAAATGAAGGAGCCAAGAAGAATTTACATGTACACGCATGTACAATTCATGCATATCAGTTATGATAAATAATAAATAAAGAATTTAGGCCGTCATGATATGTTTAAAGGAGGAACACTTGTGAGCTTCTTTCAGCAATAAAGCTGCTGAACAGATAACAGCGTATTTGTTGTGCACATTGACTAAAACCCAGAGGTCCCTTTTTTCCACAACCACAACAATATTACAATTAACAGAGAGTGTAATTGCATGGTTATTATTATATAAATATTACGTTATATACATGTGGCTGAAATCAAATCTGGGAACCTTTGGTTTCTAAGTCAATACTTTATACATATTTTACCTACTGTTGTTCCAAGTAAAATATATTTTACATATATTTTGCTTCTTTGATGTATACCGATTTCTGTATTAGCGGCACTCAATGACCCGTGAGCAAATTTTAGCGACCGTAATGCATTGTTTCTTAGTTTGCCTTTTTAATCAGTTGTACACATTCATTCAATAAATTTTGTTGGTGTTTGGTTGACTTTCATTTAATAAATACATGCTGTTGGTATGAGTTCGAATCTCGGTAGAAGAGTCCTCTTTCAAATCGGAAATAAATATATGAATGACGGTATGGCCAGTTGGTTAACGCCTCAAACAAGTAATCTTAGGATTGTTGGCCGCATGGGTTCAGAACCCGGTCAGGGGCAAGCCGTTGCTTCCATGAGCAAGACACCTTACATTCATTGCTTAGTACTGGTTGGTTCCAGGAACGGATTCGAGAGCGTTTTAATAAGCTTATAGTTTATAACACAATCGGACTAAAGCAAATTTGTATAAACTAATTCATGTTTAATCATATCATTTATCAAATGCTAGTACTATACATGGCCGCTTCTTTCACACGAAGCCTCAAGTGATTTCATTAGAGTCAATTTACAAGGAAAATAAACATTTTCACTGGTGACGTTATGAAAAAGGGACAAGGTAATCAATCGTACTTTTACAGTTTTTTTGTTTCCCCCACCATGTGATAGATGAACCATTAAAGGGACTCCACTGAGGTTTAAAGGGCTAAAAACATAACATTAGAATTTCTTACATAAATGAACTGGGGCGCTTTAAACAGAAGTATATGCAAAGATAGTTAAGAAATATACTTTAAAATAAATCGAAAATCGTAGCTTTATGCTTTTCTTAGCCTAATTTGAGTGAAAAGCGTTTAAACGCTTTTCATTTTGGGTCATTTTTTTTACAATTTGAATAAGTATTATGGAAAAACGAAGTGCGCGAATGATCTGAAAGTGTGCACAAAGATTCGTGGTCTACACCTACATCAAATGGTACATTTATCTGGAAAAAAATATTTTCAGTCCCATCATGTCAAAAAACCTCAGTGGAGTCCCTTTAACTAGAATTATCTTTAACAACAACAACACTTTATCTTAATTTTGGCTTTATATGACTTCAAGTCAGTTTAACGAAAACTTTAGCACATATTTTGTCTGTTAGCATAACTTAAGAAAACACACATACATTTTTATCTCCCGCGCACAGATAACATGTCCCGATGGAAGAACTTGATTAGTTTACTAGAAGAAACCATTTGTTTTCTGGCCGCACAAGAACATGTTCTACAAACTTAACCGCTGATAGATTCCGAGCGCATGCTATTACTGGGTAATGAATGAAATGACATGTTTAGTAAACAATGAGTCATATGTATGAATTTATTAAGCCAATCAAAATATAAACACACGAGCAGGCTGTGAAGGGAAAAAACCTGCAGTGAAAAAAGAACCATTTGTTTTTTCCTACAAAAAAATCTACGAAATGGAGAATAATGCTCGGCTGTGCTCGGTTGTATGGCTGGAGTTGCATGAGGAGAACATATCCATGTAACTAAACTTATGTAACTGAATTCATTTTAATATATATATATATATATATATATATATATATATATATATATATATATATATATATATATATATATATATATATATATATATATATATATATATATATATATATATATATATATATATACGTAAAGACAATCTTAGCAAAAGGAATTGCATGAATTTTTCTTACGAAAAGTAATAGGTTCATAATGTAACTTTAAACTAAATTCACTTGCAGAAGCGTCTCCGGGTAAAAACTGCCAAAGCATTGCTTAAAACGTACCCTAATACAGCAGTCGATCTTTTGCTTACATCGTCATTGGTGATTAAAGATCGGTTAATGAACCAAGTTTCATAACATTATATGGGCTATTAGACAGGACTGATTTTAAGAAAACATTAATGCTAGAGGCATTTTATAGTACAAGTAATATCTTGAGAGTTTTAACCTAATATGGGTACGCTGAAGACGATGAGGGTGGATACCAAGATAATAAAATTGACCTTGACCTTCAAAAGGTCAATTCAAAATGGCCGCTTAAAAATACTAAAATAGGTCATTAAAACGATGATACAATATGATGCAATTAATTATTCTTGTCAAAATCAAATGATTATTCAATATGATCAGATTTTAATGAAATTAGCCACCAAATATAACGATAATAAGCCCAATGGCTCAATAAACAGTAATATACAGTACTGTTTTACTAGTGCGTTAAGGTATAAGACTAAGATTGAAAAAAATCACTTTTTATGTTTTGTTTACTTGATTATATTTTTTAAACAATAAACTTAGTTTCAAATCCTTCTTTATAAATATTACCAAAGAATGAATATTTCATAATAACAAATTAATATTTCGTAACTACGAAATAATATTTCGTAATAACGAATTATTTAATATTTCGTAATTACGAAATAATATTTCGTAATAAGGAATCAATATTTCGTAATTTAAACGAAATAATATTTCTAATTGGGAATTATTATCTCGTAAAAACGATTTCAATTCCGGGAGAAAGTGTGGAAAAAATGTCACTTCAGGTGTTCCGTAATTTTTAACATTATTTGTAGCTATGATTTTTTTAAGTTGTTCATTTTGTTTTCATTTATTTTGCACTTATTAAAGTATTTATGGTTTATGTATATACTGCAACCCCCCACCCCTACCCCCCCGACGCCCCCCCCCCAAAAAAAAAACAAAAAAAAAACAGTAGGTCTTAAAAAAGGGAAACAGTAGGAATCGAACCCTAGACATCTCAAACATCAGTCAATCACTTAACCGACTGTGCTATTGCGGATAACATTTACATTTTTAGCAGATATGACTTTCACTAACATTATGTTTTATAGTTTACTATACTCGTGAACTTTAAGAATAGTATTCTCACTCGTGGCTGAATACTGTTTTTAAAGCCCACTCGATGAAATAAAATTTCATCTTACACACAAACAAACAAATATCCTCTATTAATTCTCGTAAACTTTACTAACAAAATCGAAGTGGAATCTAATATTTCAATGAGTGCTGTAATGTATTCATTATTTACAGGTCAATAAAATAAGACTATACAAAATAAGCAATTAGGCTGTGTATACAAACAAATAAAATATTGTTGTTCCAACATGCAAAAGCGGGATTAAGTATGCGCAAAATCACCACAAAATCTTTTTAAAGGCGACATGTGACACATTATAAAATTTATATATAAAATAAAAGATACCACCTTTGTTAAGGCTTTTCTCTAGAAACTATTAACTAAAGACATAATAATAACATAATTGCACGTATTAAAAAAAAAAGGCAGTACAAAATTTTAAGAATATGTTTATCCTACTTAAAACATTATCAGGATCAAAAACTCCTGTTGTAACCCAAATATCTACGATATTATGGCTCTATCTCAATCTATGAAAGTTGTTTTCTACCTCAGGTTTATATATAAAATGTGTTTATTGAGTGTTGAGCAAACTAGGTAAAAAATAGCCAACTTACAAATGTTTACAAATCCTACTTTTTTAATGGTTACAACAATATTTCTGTCCCATTCATTTATAAAATGTGTAACTTGCTGAAATATTGAAATTAATAAAGAGCCGTTTTTTAGCACATTGTGAACATTACACATGTATGCTGCATTTAAGTTTTTTGTGTGTTGTTTTGTTTGTATTTGTTGTTTTCTGCTGAAAATAATGTCTGCATAATTCATTTTTTAGATTCAATTATAACTGCATTAAGGTATACGATGGATAAAAAGTCATCTTAAACTTAGAAGTGTATACTTCATCACATCCTTAACAAAAATTACAGAAAACACCAAATGTTTACCATCTTGTTTAAAAATAAGTGACT